GCCTTCGGCTCAGGTCACGATCCTGGAGTCCCTGGATCGAGTCCCGCATCGGGCTCCCTGCTCGGCGGGGAGTCTGCTTCTCCCTCTCCCACTCCCCCTGCTTGTGTTCCCTCTCTCGCTGTGTCTTTCTCTGTCAAATAAATAAATAAAATCTTTAAAAAAAAATTAATCACAGAGTCTCAACAGCTGGACCCACTTCACTGAGGAAATTAGGATGTCCCCCTGCGGGGCTTGGAGACATGGGTCTGGGACCGTGCTCTGCCATGTGAGAGCTGTGTGACCTTGGATACGTGGCTTTCCCTCTCTGTGCCTTTGTTGTGACTTTATAGTTGGGTATAATAACAGCTCCTGCCTCACAGGATTGCTGAGCCGACTGAGACCAGGTGTGCAGAAGAAATGACGGAATGCATGATGTCTGTTCTTGTCTCCATACTGCCTGCCTAGCTCCTCAGGCCAGGCCTTCCTTGTCACCCTTCTCCATCCAGAGGTGAGACAAGATGGGCCCATTCACTCTGGGCTGAGCTCCCACTAGGAACTGGCCCACTCAATCCTCTAGACACCCTGTGAGGAAATCCAACCAAAAGCCCCATTTTACAGAGAAAGAAGCAAGCACGGAGGAGGGAAGTCACTGCCCCAGGGTCATAGGGCAAGGGACGGATTGGAGGGAGGATCGAGATTTTTCCGCCAGGTCTCTGTATCCCCAATGCCCTGATTGCTGCACCCACTGACCTGGGAGGGGTGCCATCTGGAGAGACCGCAGTTAGAGACCTCTCCTCTCTAACTCCAGACCCCACCCTCCCTCCCTGGGTGGGAAGGGTGTAGAAGGGGAAACTCAGACCCAGAAAGGCAAAGTTGTGGTCAGAGGTTTGCAGGGACTATGGTCTCTCTGCAGGCTCTTCTCCTGCCTCCATGCACAGGGGAGGGAGGTCAAGCTGATGGAAGGTCACAGTGCAGCAGGAAGGTATAGATTTCCATTTAAGAGAGGTTTGGGGAGAGCGAGCGAATTTACAAAGGCAGAGGAAAACAGATGCGAGCCTGGAGCCGGAGGGCCCTGCCCAAGGTCACACACAGCTTTGGGTCTGCAGAGAGCTCCGCTCCCAGAGGCTGCCCCTTCCCCACCCCCAGGGGCGAATGCCGGCCAGCTTCCTGCAGCCTGCCCTGTACCTCCTGGTTCCTCCCCACCCTGGGGCCTTGGCAGCTTCTGGAATCCCTGGCACCAAGCAGGATCAGCCCATCTGGGGCCTTGGCCAAGACTTAATCTTCCCCTTTCTCCCTCTTGCTGGGTCTGCACGCACGATGCTGAGTCAGAGGATTGCAACATCTCTCCTCAGGCTTTGAGACTAGACACCCTCTGCCCCATGCACTGCCTTGATCAGACAAAGGTGATGGGGTGGGAGAGATCTGGGGATATTGGCATCTGCCCTGGGTTGGGGGGGGCAGTTTGGGGAAGGTCTCAGGGGTTCCGGGGAGGTGATGGTAGACAGATAGTAGGCAGTGTCATGTTGGGCCTCAGCGTCCTCATCTGTCAATGGGGGGCTCACTGTCTAACCGGGTTCGAATACCAGCTCTGCCACTTACCAGCTGTGTGACCCTAGACAAGTGACTTACCCTCTCTGAGCCTCAGTTTCCTTATCTATAAAACGGGGACAAAGCAGTGAATCCTCACGGGGTTGTTGTGAGGGTCACAGGAGTTAACGCACATCAGCTCAAGTGGGCAAGGAGCTAAGTTCTCAGTAAATGGAAGGTATCATTTTTCCATGATTGCTATTATTAATATAGGTATGGGAGGGGCTGCCACAGAAGCACGCTGCTTGGATCCCCCTTCAAGAAAAGACTTGTGGCAGGCGTGCAGATGGCTGGCTGACAGCCTCCCACAGTTGGCTCCTTCAAGTTCAGCCTCGGCTTGCCAGTCGGGGACACGATCTCCCGGGCAGCCTCTGGCCATTGACAGAGCCAGGTGAGGTAGGGGGTTCTGGCCATTTCTGCCTACTGTGGGGTTCCTCTAATGGGCAGTCTGCTGCAGGGGCTCTTCCTTGGGCTGACGTGGTGGCCTGATGGTTCCTTCCCCCCACCCAATCCTGCCTCCCCATTTCCCTTCCTCATGGATGGCTCTCCCTAACTTTTTGCCCTCCTGCCTCTAAGCGTCTGCTTTCTGGAGGACCGGATCCGCGAGGACAGCCCGTGGGAGTCAGACAATCTGAGGGCGGGTATTGTCTCTGTCTGGGTGGCTTCAGAGCAGCATCTGATCTCGCTGAGACTCAGTTTCCCCCTCTGAGTCAGGAGAAGAGTAACGTGATGGCTGGGAGGCTCCTGTGAGTCAGCAGGAAAGCCTTTGGTGCGCTTACCTGGCACAGATGCGTCCTACTCATCCATCGGAACGGAGACAAATCTGGGTCTCCCTTCCACTCTACCAGTTTCCGGCTAGGTGGCCTCCGGCCAGTCCGTGCTCTCTGAGCCTGGTCTGGAAGGTGGGGGTGGACCCTGTCCTTCCCAGAATAGGGCACTGGCGGGGTCAGGGGTGGAAAAGCCCCGAACAAGGCTGGGACACAGGAAGCTCACGAGTCTGGGTGGCTCAGTCGTTAAGCGTCTGCCTTCAGCTCAGGTCATGATCCCAGGGTCCTGGGATCGAGTCCCGCATCAGGCACCCTGCTCTGCGGGGAGTCTGCTTCTCCCTCTCCCACTCCCCCTGCTTGTGTTCCCTCTCTGGCTGTGTCTCTCTCTGTCAAATAGATAAATAAAATCTTAAAAAAAAAAAAAGAGCCGGGTGATGTCCCATTACTGTGATTGCCTTAAGTGGCTGAGCTGGGGGGGGGGCGTTGGGGGGCGGGTAGGTGAGCTGCAGGGCAGGCATGTCTGACCCCCGTGGCGCCCTGGTTTTGGGCTGACCAATGAAGGGAAGTCCCAGGGCTGGGAAACCGTGGTGTCCTCCCGCAGAAGCTCCCTGATTCTAGGATACACCCCAGAGTTGGGGAGGGGGAACCCTCATTCAGTGGGCAAGGGAGGAGGGCGAATGTACAAGAAAGAAGGCTGCCTCCTTCATCAAACTAGAGCTTGCCAAGGATGGGAGAAAGACCTCCACCATCAGACTGGGAGGTCCCCGAGGTGGGGGACATGTTCCCCACCGGTGTAGGAGTTCCTGGTGCGTTTGAGTTGCATTCTTTCTCCTCCACCAGATTAGGATCCCCCTGACAAGAAGGGTGTGACATCTCTTCAGATTAGATATCTCTGAGAGTGAGTGGTGCCTCTCCTATCGGACCCAGAACTCTCTCTGGCTGGGTGCCTGGGGGATGTCTCTCATTAGACTGGGAGTTCCTTGGAAATGAGGCGGCATGTTTCCCTCATCTGCCCGGGACAGTGGTTCTCAATTGAGGGGAGCCATTTTGCCCCCTTCCAGGGGACATTCAGATGAGTATTAGATTAGAGCTTCAAGGAGAAAGTGGGCACGCCTCCACCATCATACTAAAATTCCCTGAGAGTGAGTCTGCCTCCTGCCTCCTCCATCAGACTATCTCACTGAGTTGCGTAGCTTGAATCGGCCGGTGTACCAGGAGCACTGGGAGAGTGAGATTAATCTTGTCCCCAGTATTTAAAACGAGGTAGGAATTGCCCGGGAGGGAGCTGTTGCCTGCCTCCTCCATCAGATTAGTGCTTGCTTCTAGAGACTTGAGTTGGGGAAGTATCTCTGTCTCCCACCAACCTAGCCACTCCCTGAGATGGGGCAAGCCTCCCCCAAGGAACTCGGAGCATCCCCCGCCTTTCCAATCCCACTCCCCGGGGTAGAGCACGGAGCCCATCCCATAGGAAGGGACAGCACCCTTCCTGAAAAGCCAGCCTTTTTCCTGGAAGTCGGCATCTCCCACAGTCTGAGGCCACAACCATCCCTGCGGCCACCAGGGCCTAAAAATACAGATGCAAAAGTTCCCTGGGCTCCTGGGAAAACCGAGGTCATGCTAGGCTCTTCCTCATTTGAGCCTGGGCCACGGCAGACTCACCTCCCCTGTCCCCAGCCATCGTCCGCCCCAGTGGGGGCCACCCCCACCCTCCAACACCTTCCGGGGAGAGTGAGGACTGGGGGTGTGTGTCTCCAGCCCCTCACTTTGTGGCACGGGGTCACCAGCCGGGAGCAAACCCTAGCATGGCTGCCTCTCAGCTCCGCACCCCCCGGGCAAGCTGTTTGCACATCTGAAAAGCGTGCGGCTGGCACCACACATTGGTGAGGATGTGCCCACGGGGCACCTAGCCCTGGGCTGGCTGGTGGGAGACTGAAAAAAGGGGAGCCCCTATGGCCGTGCCCTGCAGGAGCGGGTGGGAGGCGACGGTTGGCTTGTGGTGTCTACTTTGGACATCACCCACCTCGGAACTTGTCACTTTGGCCTCCTGTGGTTACACGTCGTCACAGTACATTTGCTCACTTCTGGGAAAATCAGATCGTATTGTGTGTTTCAGATCCCAGTTCTCCTCTTGTGGCTTCTAGCTGCCCCCCTCCTGCCTCCGGGTTCAGGAATTTTGCCCCCTTGGAGAACCAAGTCATCTGAGGACCAGAGAGATGTGGAATTGCGGGATTAAAAAAATATATGTATTTTTAAATGATGAAATATAAGGGGGGCATTGCATAAAATAATAATGCCCCATTTCATGACCTATTATGAAGGGAACAGCTAGTTGTAGTCAGAAATGGTTTTGCCGGTTCCTCAGAAGCCCCTTTGTGCCTCTTCCAAATCACAACACTTGCCCTCCCCTCAAAGTAACCCATATATTCTTTTATGGTTTTATGGCTTTTTAAAATACTTTTGCTAGGGGCGCCTGGGTGGCTCAGTTGGTTAAGCGACTGCCTTCGGCTCAGGTCATGATCCTGGAGTCCCCGGATCGAGTCCCGCGTTGGTTAAGCGACTGCCTTCGGCTCAGGTCATGATCCTGGAGTCCCTTGATCGAGTCCCTTGATCGAGTCCCGCATCGGGCTCCCTGCTCGGCAGGGAGTCTGCTTCTCCCTCTCCCACTCCCCCCGTTTGTGTTCCCTCTCTCGCTGTGTCTTTCTCTGTCAAATAAATAAATAAAATCTTTTAAAAAAATAAAATAAAATACTTTTGCTGCCTATGAATATACACCTGACCGCTACAGTTTTGCGTTTTTAATAAAGGGATCTTACAGTGCAAGACGTGACTCCTTGCATTCAGTGGTATCCCTGTGAGGTATGTGCAGATTCTTGTGTCCATGGGAGTGCCCTCGTGTGCATGGCTGTGTCCTATTTTTCTTGCACGATATACCACAGTTTGTTAATGCATTCTTCTATTGACGGGCATGTGTGTGATTTTGACATGTGAGTGGCTTTTTTTTTTAATGTTTTATTCATTTATTCATGAGAGTCAGAGAGAGAGAGAGAGAGAGGCAGAGGCAGAGGGAGAAGCAGGCTCCCCGCCTAGCAGGGAGCCCGATGTGGGCCTCAATTCCAGGACCCTGAGATCATGACCTGAGCCAAAGGCAGACGCTTAACCATCTGAGCCACCCAGGCGCCCCCGTGAGTGACTCTTTTGACAAGGATGTGTGTATCTCCTGGTGCCAGGGAGCACCCGTTTTTCTGCATTCCCCGAGAGCGGAGTTGTCATAGGATGGGGCAGATGATGGGTCTATGTCCAGCAGGGCAAGATATGGCCAGACAGTTTTCCCATGTGATTGCACCAATTTTTTTTAAGATTTATTTATTTATTTGTCAGAGAGAGAGAGCACAAGCAGGGGGAGTGGGAGAGGGAGAAGCAGGCTCCCTGCTGAGGAAGAAGCCCAACGCAGGACTCGATCCCTGGACCCTGGGATCATGACCTGGGCCGAAGGCAGATGCTTAGCCGACTGAGCCACCCAGGTGTCCCCACTGCACCAATTTTTACTCCCATTTCCCATGTCTGCTGCGGGTTCTACTTGCCCTATCTCCTTGCCAGCTCTAGTTCTGGCCAGACTTTTAAAATATGAGTCACATTGCATGTATGCATGTGTGTGTGTGTGCGTGCGTGCGTGTGTGTGTGTGTGTAAGCGTCTCAGGGTGGTTCTAATTTGCAATTCCTGGCTCAACATCAAGGTTGAGTACCTTTTCCTGTGTCCATTGTCTACTTGAATCCAAGCTCAACAGAATCTTTATGCCAAAAAATTCTAGAACCCTGGGCACCTGGGTGGCTCAGTTGGTTAAGTGTCTGCCTTTGGCTCAGGTCATGGTCCTGGGGTCCTGGGATCATGTCCTGCATCAGGCTCCCTGCTCGGCGGGCAGCCTGCTTCTCCCTCCCCACCCCCCGCCCCCGCTTGTGATCTCTCTCTCTCTCAAATAAATAGATAAAGTCTTTAAAAAAAATTCTAAAACCCTAAAATCTTAAGGGTAAAGAATTCTGGAGTCCCAGCCTTTCTGGAACAAGGCATTCCGGAGTCCTGTGGCTGGTTTCCTCATTCATGTAATGGGGATGGTAGGGGTCTCTCACTCACCTCGTTGGCTGAAGGATTAAACAAGTTACACGTGTGCTCCTAGAATGGGGCCTGGCACATGGCGAGCGCTCAGTAAGTGTCGTTTCCCCTAAGGCAGGAATCTTATCCATTTTGTTCTTTTCCATATCCTCAGCCCAGACAACAGCAGAGAGGCTCCATAAATAGTTTCGAAGCGAATGAATGAATCCTAGAATCAAAGGATCAAAGGCTCAGAGAAGCTTGCAGTTGGGGAACGTGAGGAGCAAAGACCAGTGGAGTTTTAAGAACGAAGAAGGATCAGATCAGAGAGGCTTAGGAACTAAAGAATGATAGAAATGCATTCTTGGCAAATCTCTGACACACTGTCTTAAAGTCTTGGAACCCGGGAAGCTCCAGGGGCAAAGGCCCCCTGACTCCGGGTGGGAAGGGCCTGGGGTAGGCCTGAGGACAAGGCTTACTTGCTCGCATTCTCCATGCAGGCTGTGTCCACCACTTCTCATTTCCACTGCCCCCCCTCACCCGTCCTCCCAGCATGTGTGGGTGGATCCTGGAGAAGCTACTCCCACCTGGGCCTCAGCGAAAGTCCAGGCTCCTGCCAGGGAGGCCGCCCCTGCACCAGGCACCGTTTTCCTCCCGCCTTATCTCCCGCTCTGTCCCCACCTACACCCCTGCTTTCAATAGCGGCCTCTCCCCCCCACCCTCCTGCCCACACGCGCCCTTTCCACAGCAGCCAAAAAATACGCCTCTTCCTCTGAGATCCGACCCAGGGCACGCGGTAGGGGTTCCATAGCAGGGACCTTAACTCCAGCAGCCTCTCCTCCGGGGAGCTCTCCCTGATTTCTCTCCACAGGCTGGGTTGGGTGCCCTCCCTGGGTTCTCCTACTGCAGCCCCAACTGTTCTGGAATGTCCCGTCCCTGTCTGGGGAGCAGCCCAGTCTCCCCAGTGTGTGAGGCTGTGAGGACAGGCCCCCCGCGGCTCGGGCTGTATGTACCCACAAACACTGCCCCAAGCAGCTGAGACCTCAGGGAATGGGTGTGTCAGCCCCATCTGCAGATTGAAAAAGGCGATCTTACAATGCTCTGAATTGTGCCCTTGATACCGTCCCTCTGGGACCCAGGGACGGCTCCACTGGCTTTTTTAGGTCAACCAAGGAGTGCCCAGTGGTTCAAAGGGACTCGGGTAAGACCTGACAGAGCTCAGTCCAGGACCCGCCCTCCTGAGACACAGGAGCCGTCCAGGTCACCAGCTCAGGTCCGTGTTCTACCCCAAAGGCTCACAAAGACCTTCTGTTTCGTTTATAAATGTTTCTGGCGTGTACCTGTGTACCCACGGGTGAGATCTGAGACCTCAACTCCCCCCCTGAATTCGATTCTCTCCCCCGCTCCGTCTCCCTCCTCCTTCACTTGAGGCACAGAGAGGTTAGGGGCTTTGCCTAAGCTCACACAGCCAGGGAAGGGCAAGGGGAGATAAGCTCTCAAAAATCAACTTTATTTAAAAAAATCAACTTTATTGACGTATCATTTACATACAATAAAACGCACCCATTTTAAGTGTGTACCGTTGGATGAGTTCTGATAAAAGTTTATAGTCCTGTCATCATATCACAAGCCAGATACAGAACATTTCCATCACCCCAAAACTACCCCAGTGTTCCTTTGCAGTAGAACCCTCCCTGGATTTCCCAGTCTCTGGCAGCCACTGATTTTTTTTTTTTTAATCTCTATAGTTTTGCTTTTCTAGAATGTCATAGGAATGGAATCATACAGTATGTGGCCTTTAAAATATTATTAAAAAATTTGGGATGCTTGGGTGACTCACTCGGTTAAGCGTCTGCCTTCAGCTCAGGTCATGATCCCGGGGTCCTGGGCTAGAGCCCCGCATGGGGCTCCTTGCTCAGCGGGGTGTCTGCTTCTCCCTCTCCCTGCCACTCCCCCTGCTTGTGCTCTGTCTCTCTCTCTCTGTCTCTGGCAAATAAAAAATTATTTAAAATTTGCATGTAGCAAAATTCACTTTTTCAGGTGGACTGTTCTATCAGCCTTGCTGCGTGCACGCATCTGCGTAGCTAGCACCAGAATCCCATTGCAAATGATTTCTATCACCCCCCAAAATCCCCTCCTGCTGGTCTTCTGTGGTTGCACCTTTTCCCGTGCCCCCTCTGGCAAGCCGCCAGTGATCTGTTCTCCGTCCCTACCATTTGGCCTTTTCCAGAATGTCTTATTCGTGGAATAACGTTGCCTTTGGAGCCTTGATGCTTTGACTGCGCTCCGTGCATCCGAGATTCATGTGTGTGGTCGCGTGTGTGTCGGTAACCGGCTGATTCTCACTGTCACTTGGAATTCCGCTGCGTGGGCGGACCGCAGTTTGCTCATTTACCCACTGGCTGAAGGACATTTGGGTTGTTTCCAGTTATTGGTGATTACGAAGAGAGCTGCTATAAACATGTGCATACAGGTTTTTGGGTGACCATAGGTTCTTATTTCTCTTGTGTAAATACCCGGGAATGAAATTGCTGGGTCATATGGGAAGTGTATGTTTCACCTCAGGGGAAATTGGCAAACCGTCTTCCAAGGTGGCTCCTCTGGGTTGCGCTCCTGCCAGCAGTATGCAAGGGGTGCTGGTGGCCGAGCTGTGACGTGAGTCGGGGTCTGTGACATGGATCTGAGCTCCTGGCCGCCGAGCCGCGCCACTCTCTCGCAATCGCTCTCTCTTTTTAAAGATTTTAGTTATTATTTATTTGAGAGAGCGAGAGCACAAGCAGGGGGAGCAGGAGAGGGAGAAGTAGACTCCCTGCTGAGCGGGGAGCCCGATGCGGGACTCGATCTCAGGACCCCGGGATCATGACCTGAGCCCAAGGCAGATGCTTAACCGACTGAGCCGCCCAGGTGCGCCACTCTTGATAAATAATAATTGTGACAAAAGCTCCGTCCACTGCGGCCACCATCCATGCAGCTGCTTGCAAAAATAAAAAATAAAATAAAATAAATAATAAAATAAATAAAAAATAAAAATAAAATAAAATAAATAAAGGCGCTTCCTGGGCTGAGCAGTGGAATCTTCCAGATATGCTGCTGGAGAAAAAAAATGCAGGGCAGGCTCCAAGTGTGTCCCATTGGCATAAACAGGGTGGGAGTGGGGGGAAGAAATGTAAGCCTAGATGTTCTTGTTGGTGCACAATCTTTGGAATGAAACAGACCGGGAGTGGGGACCAGGGCTGGGGCGGGAGGGGCCCCCCGGTTCATGGTGACTTCCATTTTGTACTTTTTGGATTTTGAAACTTGTGAGTGTCTGACCTCTTCGAAATAAACACATACCAACACAAGCCACTTGCTGTGCCAACAGGTATTTCAGGCCCTGTTCTGGTGGCGAACGGATCAGCTTCCGGCCCTCGGGGAGTCAGAGTCCGGTCCCTGAGACAGATGGTCAATAAGACAAGGAACGTATAGACAGTGTTAGCTATTTGCTGTGGGGAAAAATAAAGCTGGCGAGGGACTGGGGTGGGGAGTGTTTTAAAGCATGTTTTGGGGGCACCCGGGTGGCTCAGTCTGTTGAGCGTCTGACTCTTGATTTCGGCTCAGGTCATGACGTCAGGGTCATGAGATCGAGCCCCGAGCCCCTCATTGGGCTCCATGCTCAGCGGGGAGTCTGCCTGAGATTCTCTCTCCCTTTCCGCCTGACCCCCCCTCTTTAAAAAATGTTTTTTAAATTGAGTGGCCAAGGGAGGACCCTATAAGGAGTGATATTTGGGCAAAAACGTGAAGGAGGTGAGAGGAGCCATGGACGTCTGGGGGAAGAGTGTCCTAGACCAAGGGAACAGCAAGTGCGGAGGCCCTGAGGCAGTTCCCCCTGGCTGTCCGAGGACAGTGTGGCTGGGGCAGGGTGAGCTGGGGGGGAGTGAAGGTGAGCTTAGGGAGATGCGGGGGTGTGTGTTGAGCAGATCGGGTGGGCCACTGCAAGGACTTTAGCTTTTGCTCAGAGGGAGATGGGAGCCATGGAGGGTTCTGAGCAGGGCAGGGATGTGGCCTGACTTTGGCTTTAACAGGGTCCCTCTGGCTGCCTGTGGGGGGCAAGGATGGAGGCAGGGAGCCCAGTGAGGGGACTGTAATGGTCCAGGCTACAGGTGGGGGTGGCTGGGCTGGGCTGGGTGGGGGGTCAGGCAGCTGAGATGGGGAGAAGTGGCAGGATTTAGAGGCTATTTTGAAGGTGGCACCACAATACATGTTCCTTCTACCATGGTGGGAGCTAGTGTGGCGGGGCACAGAGAACGAGGACGGGGGGGAAAGCAGGCCTGGTTTGTGGAGATCAGGGATGACATTCCTGGAGCCGTGATGTTTTAGCAGGGACCTGAAGTGAGGGGGAAATGTTGGAAAGAGTAGAGAGCACAAGGATCTCTTAGAAAGACAGAAAGGAGGGTGGAGGCGAATGGTGGTCAGGTCACACAGCGCCTAGTAGGCCTGTGCCCTTGGAATAGCACCAGTGTTCTGAGGGCACTGGGGAGCCATAGCAGGTTCTGAGCTGGGATAGGGTTGAATTTTGGGAAGACCTCTCTGGCTGTGCAGCGAGACCAGCCGTGCAGGTGGCTTGGGTTGGGAGAGTAGGTGGGGGTAAAGAGAGTCAATTCCAGAAATTTAGGAGGAAACCTTCTGGGGAAAGGGGGGATGGAGGGGCCACGATCAGCCACTGTCCCTAGGATTTCTTTTGCATGAACTCAGACAGTCTTCACACCCACCCAGAGAAGTATCATACCCTTTTCACAGCTGGGGAAACTGAGGCCGGGAGAGGCTGCAAAGTCCCTGTTCCAAGGCCACACAGTCAGCAACTGGGGTGGGGAGATTCGAACCCCACCCCACCACCACCTGCAGGGACATGGGTGCCACCTCACCCTTCCCTTACCCTCCCAGCCCATCCCCTACCCTCCCCAGCTGTGAAGGCTTGTCCTTCTGGGGAGTCCCCCCCCACCCCCCCGCCGGTTAGGCCTCCACCCCTCCCTCCCTCCCTCCCTGCCTGCCCTAAGCCCCAAGCCCAGCTCTGGACTTTATCCCGGGGCCAGCGGGTGCTGCTGATAAAGGCAAGCAAGCACAGAGGCCAGCAGGCAAAATTCCCCTACTCCCAGTGCCAGGGGAGTTACCCAGGGCGCAGGGAGGGCGGAGGGCAAGTGTGGGGAAGGGGGGAAAGGGAGAAAGAGCGCATCTGCAGCTCGATGGGGCCGTGCTGCTTTGCCACTTTGTGCCTCAGTTTCCCTCTCCGTAAATCGGGCTCGATTCCTTCCATGGATAGAAGGCCCCACAAAGCTCTGCAAGGGCAGAAGAGTCTTCCCCTTTGGTCTAACCAGGAGACAAAGATGTCCTCCCTCGGATGCGGGGAAACAAGGAGACCCAGCTGATTGGGGGCATCAGGAGCCCTCAGCAAGTCTGATGAGGGAGGCGGAATTTCCCAAACAGGATAGAGAAGATAAATCCCATTTCCCTGGACGAGCAAGTATCTAGTCTGGATTTCTAGTCGGTTGGGGGGAAGTAAGGAGGCCCCATTCTGATGTGTGAGACGATGAGTTTCTAATCAGGCGGAGGAGACAGGTCAACCCCAGTCTTATGGGAGGGGTCAAAATCCTCCTGTCCCGAAGGGAAGGCAAGGTGCTAG